CAGGCGTGGGGATGGAGTTGGGGGGGGGGGGGCAGTGCAAAGGGAGGGGGTGCAGGCTTTGGGGGGGAGTTTGAGGGCAGGAGGGGGTGTGTGGGAAGGGGGTTTGGGAGGGAGTTTGGGGATAGGAGGGGATGCAGGGGTGAGGGCTGTGGGTCTGAGGATGAGGGGTTCATGATGCAGGAGGGGGCTCAGGGCTGGGACAGAGGATTAGGGTGCGGGGGGATGAGGGCTGGGGATGAGGGGTTTGGGGCGTTGGAGAGGCTCGGGGCTAGGGTGGAAGGGCAGGGTAAGGGCAGCCTGTCTTCCCATTAGAGGATGGGGGATGCTAGGATCCGGGGGCAGCAGACAGCAGTTGCTGTCGGCTCTCGCAGTACAAGCAGGCAAGGGACAGGCAGGCAGGGAGAGGGAGTCCACGTGGGGGATGGACGGATGCGCGGAGGGAGAGTGGCAGGTGGAGGCCGGGGACCCATCCAACACTCCCTCACTCCCTGACTGCCCCCCCGGACTCCCCTTACCATTCTGGCTCCACGTGTAGGCAAAACACGCTGCTCGGTGGGTCAATTTGTGTGTTACACAGGGCTGCAGATAGAGGGAGGGGGGAGCAGGGGAGGGCTCTGGCTGCTGGATGCCAATGGGAACGGCTCAATCAGCCCAGCCGCCCAATCAGCAGCCACACTCTGCATGGAAGGGAGGGAGGGAGGCGAGGGAGAAAAAACCCCCGGACATTTTAACCTTGTTACCAGTTCCTCCCGGACGGCTATTTAGAGACACAAAAGCCGGACATGTCCGGGGAAATACGGATGGATGGTAACCCTATTCACCTCTCTGACACCATCTGCCACTAAAACCCTAACCTTCTCCTGCACTCAGTGCACAAATGCTGCTTGTTACAATCTTATATTTATGGAGAGCTTGCTATCAAGTCTCTCAGGTTCCTTCAGAATAGGAAGGAATTGCTGAACTGCAGCGCTCTCTGGGGTGGAAAGCAGCAGCCACTCCTCACTAACACCGCCTCACAATAAGTTTTCAAAAGTTTAAGAAAAGATTAACTCCTCCTATTGAAACTGCAGGGGAACCGAGGCTGGAAGAACGTAACCACCCAATCTGGGATTTGGTCAGGACACCAGGGTTGAGACCCCCGCCCGTGCAGAAAAGTTCCATGGGCTCTTCAGCGACCAGAAAGGGACAGGACCTTGGTTTAACATTGCATCAGAGAGATCTAATGCCGGCGGATTTGAAAACTTGGCTCCTGTTAACATAAAATGACATGGGAAAAAAATAAAGGAACCGTAATAAAACAATAATAAGATGTTGGTCCTGGGACCAGCCTTTTCCTCCTGGGATAAAAAGGAAAACAGAGGTTGATGTTAGACACTGGCTTTCGTAAGTGGGACAGGCAGTGCCACAATCCAGCATTGACCAAGACAACTTAATGAAATGAGCTTCATTTGCCTATTACAGGTCAGCCTAGGAAGAGTGAGAGTGTGTTTGTGTGCGTGTGCGTGCATGTATTTTGATGTATATAAAAGTTACAATTTTAAAGTGGAGAACAGACTCAGAGACCCACACATGAAGGTCTGGTGGCCGACTGACTCCTGTTGTACTGTGCACTTACCAATATATAGTGTTAGGACTATGCACGGCACACTTAATAGCGTGGAGATTCACCATGAGAGATCTATTCCTGTGTGTGCCACGAGACCTTTAAATACCCCGCCCACAACGTGCCCAGGAGCATAGATCTACCGAGCCCACGCCAACCCTAGCCTTCGTGCATCCAGGGGAATATGGCAGCCCACCCCTGCTGCCACATGTCTGGGCCTGACCTTATTACACAGGTTAAAAGTGTCCACGTTGCACTGGGGGGTTTATCATCTCTTGCGCTATGGCCGCAAACAGCCTGTAGGGCCTGAGAGCAAGCTGGGTTCATTTTGGCTCATGCATCATCCGTGGTAAGGCTGCTCTGAGGGATGGACGGTCCAATGCACAGTTGATTTCTGTAGCTAGCAATTCTCCTGGTGGCGCATGAGCTGGGATAGACTCCGGTCTCCCTCTCAGAGCTGGGCTGGCTCTGTGGAGAGCAGTGGACATGGATTTGTGTCCCTGAAGTCAGCTGATGGAGCTCTCAGTACAGCAAGGGGAGCGGTCTATGCTTGGGAGGCTATTTTTACTTTCCTGAGGCTATTTGCACTCCATCCCCACCAACACGTCCTGCTCAGAGCAGAGTGGGGGCAGGAGCACAAGAACTACACCTCAGCAGAGCCCAGTGACACAACCCTCACAAGGACAAGAGACTCTTTGAAAATCACTGGGGCTAGCCAGTCTCTGTGCCAGAGACCGTGACTCAGGACTCTTGATCACCAGGCTGGGATTGTTGCTCAAGTTGGGTGCAGGGGAGGGGGCATTGCGAGAGGCAGCTTCATCTAATGCTGTGAGCACAGAGCAGGGAGGCAGGAACTCCTGTGTTCCACCCGGGCTCTGATGCCAATTCCCTCTGGCTTTGGCCAAGTCCCTTCCTCTCTCCGAGCCTCAGTTTCCCCATCTGAAAAATGGGGCTAATGATACTGACCAGCTACCAAAGGGCTTGCGAGAATAACTCTTTGCGAAGGGCTCTGAATGGCATTGACAAATCAGAGAACAAGGAAAGCGATCAGGGGGCTGGAGGGACTGATTCATGAGGAGAGAGTAAAAGAGCTAACTCCACAGGGCGGCTAAGCAACGGTAATGCACCAGAGGGAGGGGTCATAGTGAGGAGTAATGGAAGCAAACAGAGAAAGGTCTCCTAAGGCAAGGGCTAGGAGTTCCTTTGCTTTTAATTAAAACTGGAGACCCCCCCTAGCCTAGCCCATGGGGGAGCACTCCCCGTACGGGTAGGGGAATGGACATGATGTGATGGGAAGAGGCCTACTGCTCAGTGAAGGTGGAAAGTGCTATGTACCTGCCGAACAGCTTCCAGCAGAGGATGGTGGCTCCTGGACACAGAAGAGAAGGAAATAATCTGCCCCCGGCACACGCCCTTGGTCATACGGTGGGGGCAGCCCACGAGCCCAGAAATCCCACTGCAGCCCTTGCCTGCTTAGGCAAGGGGCAAATGAGGCGTAAGGCTTGGCTGGGTGAGGGTGCCCATCAGAACCCATGCTCAGCAGCTGAGCAGCCATGCTTCACTCAATGTCTAACTCCTCCCCAGCCCAGGGTTCACGCTTAAGCTGTTACGTTTCACCGCAGTCCCATGGCTGACTGCAGCACCGCAAGACACTGCCTGTTCGACTGCAGCCTCGTGAGCATCTCGTTTCCAGCGCTGCGGGAAATCAGCTCAGGCTGGTGGAACGGAACCGGGGCACTCCAAAGACAGCAGTGGGGAAGGGGGGGGGAACTACAGACTCTTGGGGGGGGGGACAAGCTGAGGGATCCCTTGCACAGCTGGTGAGCAGGGATGGTTCTCACTGAACCTGCCTGGGTGCCAGCTGCTAGCAGCTCCATCGCGGGTAGCAGGACAGCCTCTCCTTGCTGACTGACTACACAGAAATGAGAATTCCACTGGAGTTCTCAATAAGCAGCTGCCT